CGGTGCCAGGTGGTCTTTCCCTTCCTCTCATGGGTTCTATCCTACATCACCTCTAACCTGTGCCATTCCATGCATGCTGTGTGCACCCCGTCTTGTGAAAGTGTGAATCCTTTGCTCTCTGGGCCCCCATGTCCATCTTCTCCATCGGGCTGGGAGTCCTATCAAGAAAGGTCATCTTTGCTCTTCCCCATCTCTCTCTTTCAGTTTCCGCTGGGCCACTCTACAGATATGCGTGGGATCAAGGACTGAAAGAATCATGTTTGAACCTACAGAAACCTCATTGTCCCACATCCACATCCTTACCCTCATTCCTCGGGAGCGCTAGAGACTCTTGCTTATGTTCCATGGTAGATATGCACATTTGGGGTCTTTATGTCCTGCCTTGATGACATTGGATGTACTTTTATGTCACGGAAGGTATTTCACAATTTAAAAGAGAGATCGTCCGTGTCTGAAAACTACAATTCCTCATTCCTATGAGAAACTGTAAAACATGAGCTCAGCTCTCCCTACCCTGATTTGTTACCGGAAGAACCTGAGGGGACCCTCACCTTATTTCCGGAAACACGTGAAACCTGCTTCCAGGCATGGGCCWGGTTTTCAACTATCGTTGTCTTCCATGTAAAAATTTCAGAAGTCAGGATTTCAGCCACTAAGTTCAYGGCTTGGAGCTTGAAAATATCACCCTCACGTCCATCTTAAGAGGGTCTGTTTGGGCCTGTGTGAATGAATCTTGGAGCTTTGTGATATCTAAAAACCACTTTGAATATGGATCCAGGAAAACACCAATCTATGTATGCAGTGAAAGAAGGACCCTGCTCCTGGGTAGGGGGAAAATATCTATTTGAGTGTGTGACACTCCTTCCTGGCATGGGTTCTGCACAAATCAATGGTATTCCACTTCTTCTCAGCACTCTCACAAGGATTCCACATGAATAGAAGAGTGGAATCAACAGAGGACGCCCTCTCGAAACTCTATGAAGACGTATTGCTCTAGAAGTGGTATCATGAGCTTCCTTCACCTCCTCCTTAATTTTCTTCATGATTAGAGGCCCCACCAATCAGCATCTTCACCACTAGCAGTTCTGTAGCGTCAGTATCACCACCACCACCACCAYCAYCATCATCATCACCACCATCATCATCACCCACCATCACCACCACCACTATCATCACCACCACTATCATCACCACCACCATCACCATCATCACCATCACCATCATCATCATCATCACCACCACCATCACCATCATCACCATCACCATCATCAACATCATCATCAACATCATCACCTCACCATCACCATCATCATCATCATCATCACCACCATCACCTTCATTTCTAGAAGCTCTGCAGCATGAGTATCCCCATGATGATCATCCCCATCACCACCCTTGATGTCAATGAAGCATTTTATTCCTTTCAAATGCCTTCCAATGTATTAACTCATTGTAACCTGGGTGGGAGGTCAGGTAGGGATTAAACCTGCTCATGTTATATGACATGAAAACTAAAATCCAGATTGCTAATTTTCCTTGCCCAAGACAGACGCGGGCAAGGATAAAACCCAGCTACCTCTCTTTGGATAGAAGTGAGACAATGGAGATGTGATCTTTGGGAAATAATGAAGTGATCAAATGAGAGGGGCAGGAAAGAGAAGGAACAAGAAGAAGAGGAGTTGAGGCTGTAGAGAAGTGAGGCTCAGATGGGGACTCTGGGTTTTGTAGCTCAGAGTCTGGTATCTCCTGGCCTTAAAATTTGCTTGGAGGTGCTCCTGGAGTTTCGAGGAGTCCATGCAGTTCCCCATAAACAAACTAAAAATAAATAGGGGTGCTGGATGGTTTTGCTATTGTGGTTGCTGTATTCTAAGCTGGTAGCTCTAAACTGCAGGGCCTTAGCTTTCATGCACAGAATGGTGTTTCTTTTTCTTTCAGGTACACAATGGTATTTGCAAAAGAGATAAATATGGGAGCGATTTTGGCTGCACTCTTTGGAAGGAAAAATTATCTTTTCTCATCTGTGAGCCATGTGCAGTGGCCATCCCAGAGCCATGAATCATCCATTGGAGGAAAGGGAGGAGAATAGAAAATTAAACGTGACTTATGCTTGTTTCTAATTGAAATCAAATACAAAATTCAATCTCCCGTGCATGGCCATGTTCACACTTAAATGTGACCAGAGTATGTTGACTTGGTTTTTCTGGATAGAAGATAACTTTCTTCGTCAAGCCTCTCCAGTGACAAAGGGGACATGGCTTAGTGGCTCACCCCCTCAGTCACAAGCATCATACCAGAGTAGGCATCGGAAAAAACCCAGACCTTAAATGTATCAAATTTGCTTTTCTTTTCAGAACCAGGAGCTTTTCAACCATTTTGCGAAACGGACTCTTAAAAGTCCTCATGATCCCAAGGTGAGACCTCTGCCCTTTTGACTCAGAGAATTTCATTCTACTGTTATAAAGAAGGGTATATAAATGGTTTAAGAGAGAGAGGGATTTCCCTATGTTTATTTCCCAGGTGAAAATGGCTTATTTACTACTGGCTAACCATATTAAAAAATGCATCTGTTMGTCATGTTTATGTGAGGACGCAGGCTTACTAGCTTTCTTTGGAAGAAGCACTGAAGCTATTGACTTGCTGGATTTATGAGGACAGGTAGGAGACGGGAAATGGAGAGTTGAGTGTGATTGACCATCTGAATCCACGGACATCTTTCCCTTCTCTACATCTTCTCTAAAGAGAGGAGGGGAGGATGCAGCAACAGCCATTCTTAGTAGATTGGTATCTTTAAAGCTCTCTTAGAACCAGATATGTATTCCTAGGTCTAAATTATAAAGCCGCTCCTTACCTAGCTGCCATTGAACTCTGGAGAGAACGTGTTCTTACAAGGAAACCATAAAACCCTAGGGAGGCACTTCCCTTAGGAATGATTCTTGCCAAAGCCTAAAAGCCAGGTGAGAGGAGGACGAGAAGGCAAAGAGATGTACAGATGAGACTCCAGATGTTCTCGATCTTGCCTTCTTTAAGAATATTTTGGAAAGGATCCATGCCTGAGCCCTACTCTTGTTCTGAGCCAATGGGTTGGGGACGGAGCTGTGCCTTGAACAACCCCCTGGCTGACAGTGAGGTGGAGCTGGTGAACACCCATGTCCTCCTTGGCTCCTTTCATTACAAACCCCACCCGCAGGCGCTGGACACACCGCACACCTTCTGCACCAGCCCAAATCCATTCTCTTCCTTCTGTGCGTGTGTCTGTGCATTTTGATCTATATCTTCTTTTGCTTTGGTATTGAAAAGTCTATCTATTGCCGTCTGTTCAATTTCTCTTATCTAGGGAGAAAAAATAAACACATTTGTAAAGCTGTTTTTCGGAATCTGGAAAATCAGCCCATCCCTTGCCAGGAGTGCTAAAGACAGGGACATCTGTACTCCCTCTTAGGTACCATCTTCTATTGCAAAAAAAAAAAAAAAAACCATCCTGCCCCCCACAGATAGAATTCTCCAAAATCTCTCCAACTTGGGTCTTTCTTCTGACCTGAGAAAGATACTCGTGGGCTTGCAGGGTGAGGGTGGGGATAGACAGGACCAACACAAACAGGCGGCAGAAACCCATGAGTTCGATTGCATGAAGCTTTATAACAACACAGTTTTCATTGGGTGGGAGAAATGACAAGTTTAGTAACAGCTGAGCAGGTTCGACTCCCCCCACCCCACGCTCTTACAAATTTCAAATTTGACTAGAACGATTGATTCCTGGTTTGGGTGATCTGTGAACAAGTGCTTTGATGTCAGATGCTGCATTTGAATCCAATCCGGCTCATGGGAAGGGTCACTTTGTTTGGCAGCCCTTGATGGGGGTGTCTGCAGACAGCCCTTGCCCTCCCCCACCCCCCTTTAAACTGGAGCTGATAAATGGAATCAGCCCTTGTGCCCTGGTCCCATACGTGCCATCTCTGGAGAAGGATAATGAATCATGAGATGACCCTGTGGGGGTGGAGGCGGGAAAAAACAGAACAGTCAGTGACCCCTTGGCCCACGGCATCCTGAAGGGTGATTCATAACAAAAAGACATGCTGACTCTCTGGTCTGTGCCTCTCTGGGGGACCCTAGGGGACAGAGTCCATCCCAAAAGCATGCCTGGGGACCACCGTGCTTGGGGGGGGGGAGAGGGTCTTTAGTTTAAGGAGACCTCCCACCAAAGAGGATCGGATTTCCTCTTTCTCCCTAAAATGTGCCATTCGTCTTTTGCCAACGCCAGGGCTTTGGACTTGGCTGTGATCGCAGGGCTCTGAGAGAAGGCTCGTGGGCTGGATTTTCTCACGTGGGGACGTGTGCTAAGCTTCCCACAATCCAGGATGCTCACGATGAGAGGGATCCTTAGCAGGAAGGCTCCCAGGGATGTGGGCTGATTTTTTTRGAAGGGGAGGGCAGGGCGGGGTGAGGAATGTCTGTGCATGCCTCTGTCTTGGCAAGGCGGGGAAGAAGAAAATCAAGGGCCTGGGAGGATGAGAAGACTAGACATGCCTTAGAGGGAGGACTCGGCTCCCCAGGAGGCCGGAGGGTCTCAGGCACACACCACATTCTGGAAGAAGTCCAYCCAGAGGTGAGCCTATGCCAGGTACAGGTCTAGAACCCAGGTTTCCCCCAACTAAGAGCACCCCATGAAATAGATCTTTCTTTTTTTGTCGTTCAAATAAACATTCATGGCACTGTCTTTGATACGGAGAGGTACCAGACTCCACCAGCTGGCAGGAGATAAGAATGAATGGTGGTTTCTGTGGCCATCTGGTCAACCAGATACTKCGGGGCTCAGATAGGCCTGGTTCCTCCAGGGGGTGGCTGTGGGGTCCACCCCTCCACCTAAGCCAGCAGCCCCGGGTAACACTCCCAACTGGAAGAAGGGGATCTACTGGGTGGCTGCAGACCCTGGGGGATCTAGGCCCCCCCTGGTGAGGAGCCTCCTTGCCATTCACCTGCCTTCCCTCCCCAGCGCTATGGCCTCATTTGTCCCCCTCTTCCTGCTCCCATTGGAAATCCTGGCCAGTCATTTGGTAGAACATCATGTTGAAGGGTTTGTAGAATTTGCGCAGTCTGTGGATGACGTCCGGGTCGATGCGGGGATGAGTCCGACCTTTGCTCTTGCCCAGGCACCTGGGCGCGCTGCTGTCCTCGGGCTTCTTGAGGCAAGGGAACCCCTTGGTTTTGTTGAAATAGAAATGTTTCTCGGTCACCACGCGCTTGAGGCCCAGGAAGTCCTGCACCTTGGCCATCTCCCCCGCGGGGTCCACGATGAGCCGCTCCCCGCTCACGAAGAGGATCTGGGAGAGCGGGAAGTACTGCAGCCAGTTCTCCAGGTGCAGCGCGTAGATCCCGATGCGGATGGCGCTCCAGGACGCGTCGATGAGCCCCAGGGTCCGGTTTTTGAAGGCCAGCACCTCGAAGGTGGGGATCTCGGGTTTCTTGGACAGCGTCTGGGTGTAGTCGGAAATGGCCCTGGTCACGGGGTTTCTCACCACCACGATCAGTTTGATGTCCTTGGCCATGGAGTGGATGCGCTTGGGAGCCTCGTTGGTCACGAAGTAACTTGGGGTCTTCTCCATGGTTATCTGCCCCTCCACCGTCTTGGGCATCACGTTCCTGGAAAAGGAAAGAGAATGGTTATTCCGATYTAGAAATACTTTGATTTTTTTCTTTTATCAAAAAAATATATGATAAGAGGAACCTCGTGAGACGCCACCMAATAAAATGATAAGCACTTGGGGGTTCTTTGGATTTACATGTCCCAACTAGAGTCTTGACTATGTCATTATCAGAAGGTGTCATTATCCAAAGAGGCCGCGGAGACTCCCACATTCTTTTCTGGGAACCTTATACCCCTGGGTTTAAATTGCTTTTCTACCTCTTACCAGTTATGTTTAACCTAGATATGCCCTTAATTTCTCTCCATATTAGTTTTATAATCTCCAAAAGGCAGATAATGATAGCACTGGCTCCACACTGTAGTGTAAGGATTAAGGGAGATAATGTTGGAAAAGCATTTAGCACAGAATCTGTCATGTACAAGAGCTTAATAAATTAAGGATCTTATTGTCCTAGCGGCTTTCAGAAAATGTTTGAGCTCAACAAGACCTCCGGGATTACCTAGTCCAGGCTTGGAAAACGACTTTCCACCTCTTTCTTTTTATGTGACTCACAGCGAAGGATTTGTAGTCTTTAAATAGTTGAAATAAACACATAATAATAATAATAATAATAGTGATGATGATGATTTTGCAATCTTTAAATAGTTGAAATAAACACATAATAATAATAGTGATGATGATGAYGACAACAATGATGGTGAYGATAACATAATAATACTGTGTGGTCCATGAAAATTATACAGGATTCAAATTTTGATGTTCATCGATAGATCTTCACTAGGACACACTCACTCTCATTCCACGTGCTATGGCTGCATTGGGGCCATGACACCTGAGCTGACAGGTGCAACAGAGACCTTGTGGCCCATAAAACCTAGTACATTGGTTGTATGGCCCTTACATAAAAAGTGTGCTGATCCCTGACATTGTCCAAAGGCGTTATTGTACAGATGAGGAAACTGAAGGCCAGGAACAGGGAATGGACACAGGAATCACAAAGGTTTTGTGACCCTAGCGATTGGAATTTTTCTCTGGTTCTTATTAACCTCATTCAAACAATCCTAAAGCTTACCTCAAGTTCAGTTGACAATAAAATGACATATAGGGTGAAAGCATCTAATATGGGTCTGCTTCAATAAGGAGGATTTTCTTCTTTCTTTGCTCCCAAGTTTGTCCAGTGAGCTCCGGACAGATCCTGCTCTAGTTACATCTGGAATGTCCCCCTACACCTCATGCTAAAGGTTTGGTCACTAGATGGTGGAACTATTGGAAGGGAGTGGAGCCTTTAAGAGGTGGGGCCTGGAGGGAGAATTTAGGTCATTGGGGGTATGACCTTGAAAGGGCTATTGGGAACCCAGCTTCTTCCTCTCTTTTACTTGTTTGCGTACTGGGGCCAGTAGATGAATGGGTTCCTTCACCATGTGTTCCTTCCATGATATACTGTGCTGCCACAAGCCCAAAAGCAACCAGAACAATCAACCGTGGACTGAAACCCTCTGAAACCATGAGCTGAAATAAACCTTTCCTCTTGTTGAGTTGATTATCGGAGGCATTTTGCTACAGTAACTGAAAACTAACTAATACAGATTCCACACTACCGCCTGTGTCTTTTGGTTTCTTTGACAAGGGTGCTTCTCCCTATTGGCCACCCCTTCACCTCTTTACCTTCAGAATGGTGTCATCTTATCTGGCTCCAAGATATTAAAGGGGTTTAATGCCATCTCCCCAAATCCCAATGTAGCAGGCCTGTCTGTGATAAAATGAGGCCCAGGATCCTATGAGGCAGTCAATTTGCTGTAGGCGTATGTAGACCAGAGTTAATTGACGATGAACCTGTTCAATACCTGTTGGTACCGAGAGCCATCTGCCACCAGGAGCTCCATTAAGTCTATTCACTTCCGAGCCTTGCACCAAAGTGGTACATTTAGGATTACACAAGACCTCTTTGTTAGGATGACATGCTTTTAAATGTCTCAGMTAATAAAACTTAATACAGACGAAGATCCCTTAGCTTCTCCTACCATAATTAAATTTATTTACTATCTCACGTGTGGAGGGAGAAGGCCTTTTCTTTTATCTCTAATTCACATGCTCTGTCAATAATTAATTGCTGTTGGGTTTTTGAGCTTTCGCAGCAAGCACTGTTATTAAGCCAGAGGAATTTGCCTGCTAGAGAAATTCACATAGAGCTGGACCTTGTTAGTGTATAGTGGTGGGGCAGTGCAGAGTTTTCAAACCAAAGCCGTAGCCCTGATCATGAATAATCAGACTTGTCCGTGGGATGACATGTTCTCCAAAGTATTTGGGATGTCTTCATGTTTGTGTGCTGGTTTGGTCCTCATCAGATTGAATCGTCTCCTTTGGAGACATGGGGTGAAGAAACACAGCCTTGGGAATCAGATTTGCCTGACTTCAGAGTTCTGATGATCCCTGTCTCCTGGGTGAATTTACTTACCCAACTTTGGGGCTTCCATTCCTCACCTAAAAACAGGCTAATCCTGGTCCAGTCTCAGGACTGGAATAAAGATTCAATGTGGGAGCAGACAAGGCACTTAGGATGGCATCGAGTCATGCCAGAATTTCTATTGAACTTAAGCCAGCTATCCAAGATCATTTTCATAGCAATTCTTAGAAGGAGGGCAAATAATTTTCTTTTCCCCTTTTGGTGCTAGGGATTGAACCGAGGGCCACTTAACCACTGAGCCACATCCCCAGCCCTTTTTTGGTATTCTATTTAGAGACAGGGTCTCACTGAGTTGCTTAGTGCCTCCTGGCTAAGTTGCTAAAGCTGGCCTTAAACTCATGATCCTCCTGCCTCAGCCTCCCAAGCCATTAGGATTACAGGGGTATGCCAATGTGCCTGGTTAGAAATTTTTTTTTTTTTAATATTTGACCAAATAGAAAAGATAAACTCAGGGACAATTTTTTTTTAAATGTAAATTCTGATTCAAGCCAATGTCATTAGCTGGACTTCTGTATTTAGATGCTGGTAACCAACCATTAGTTCAGGCTAACTATAAGGAATGCATCCACGTCTTATTTCTGCTTTAATTGCAAAGATCAATCCCTTATTTTATTATGGAATTTATACCGTATTATAAACATATTAATTTGAAGTTGATGCAAAAAAAAAAAATCAGAACTGAAAGGAACTATTTTTACACAGCCCGTTCCAGATTTGGGTCCCCTGGAGGAGGTATTTTTGCGTGTTAGTTTGGCTTTCTTTTTCTTTAGCACAGGAGTGGCTGCTCGCTACTGTCACATCCATTCTTTGCCACTCGTCTCTCCGACCTCAGAGCTGGCTTTACACTGAGCTCCATTCAAAGGCACCTCCTTTTTACTTCAGCTAATTGACAACCTGTCAAGATCTCCGTGGATCTGGAGTCTGGTATGTGCAGCATCTGAGAGGAAATGGTACCCGACCTGTAAGTCAGTGGGTATCAGCGGGTAAGCGTGCGTCTGGCTCAGGGCAGGCCCCGAAGGCCCAGTGAAGACAGCAGAAGGAAACCCAGGGGCCTGAGTGGCTTTGACCATCACGCTACAGACAACGTGCTCAAAGCATGTAATTTTCGAGGGCTCCCACAGTCGGGGCACTAGTAGTAGTAAGACGGTGTCACGGCGCCAAGATCCAACTGTTAGGGGCATGAATTACGCAGGTTACTTTGCCAATAAGATTTCTAGGAGCTGTTTAAAGTCTACCAAGGTGCAATGTCCCCTCTTCCTAAAACTCATTTATTCCATAAATAATCCCTTATCATTAGGGGAACAGTGAACAAAATTGACACGGTCCCTTCCTTCCCAGACCTACCAACCTGGCTGTCACTTTGGATGAAAGCAGAACTTCTTTCTCTTCTTTGGTAATGCTGGGGATTGAACCCATGGCCTTGGGCATGCCAGGCAAGTGCTCTACCGCTAAGACTCATCCCCAGCCCAAGTACAATGCTCTTTGTAGTACTACGGAATTAACTATTATAATCAACAAAGCAGGCATTATTATTATTCCAGAGAAGGAAACAGGCTCAGAAGTGAAAGATACTTCCCAAGGCCTGGCCCAGTGGGTCTTCTGTTTTTGACGTTCCATGGCTAGGCAAAACTGACTCCATACCAGCGTTAGTGCCTCACATCAGTTCCTGGCAATTAGCAGAAATTCAAAAAAATATGCATCTATTGAATGAATGGGTGAAAGAATGACCAGCCATTGATCTGTCTGTCTCCTGGGTGTTTTTTTTTTCTTAATACTTATTTTTAGTTGTAGTTGGACACCATACCTTTATTTTATTTATTTATTTTTATGTGGTGCTGAKAATCAAACCCAGGACTCAGCGCTCCACCGCTGAGCCCCAGCCCCGGCCCTCTCCTGGGTCTTAGCTGTGACTGGTGTAGGTTTCCGATCTTCCTGTTCTCCTGCCTCGTCCCCTTATCAAGGCCTCGGATCCAGCAGTGATTTCCACACCTCCTGGTCTCCCTCTTCCTATTAGATGGGAGCAGACGCCTCTCCTACTGGAGAAGACCAACCTGTCCACCTGGCCTCAGATCTCGTCCCCCCTCCATCTTCTCCAGAATGATCCACACCCCAATTTCTCTTCTCTCCCCTGGGTTTGAATTAAGTTCTTCTCAACTGCACCTGACATTCCAACAGGTCCATGTTGTCCTATCTTGGGGTTCTCAAGGAATAGGAAACAGACCAGGAATTCTAGTGTGTGTGTGTGTGGGGGGAGGGTGAGCCACAGCGAGGCAGCTAGAAACCAGGAGGGATGGACCGGCCATGAGGAAGACACTGGAATATGTTTTCCTCTATGTACTGAGAAGTCATTGAAGAATATGGAACAGGAGCCTGTGATGTGATTTACATTTAATTTTTTTTTTTTTTTTTGGATGCTGAGAAAGGAGAGCAATGTGGTGAGGGCAGAAGGAAGTAGCCTGCTCACAGCGACCACCTCAGGAAAAGCAGGGGAGATGTGGAGGGGCCCTGGGTGAGGGTGGCCAGGAAGACAT